ATCCTTTCAGGTAATCCCAAAAAGGAACTACTATGGGGCCTATGGGTAAACTAACTTCTAGGGTTATGGGGCTATGGGGTTTAGGGCTATAGGGCTATAGGGTTATAGGGTTTAGGGTTATAGGGTTGAGGAGCTCTAAACCCTAAAGCCTAACCCAAGTTCCTTAACAGCAACCACCCTAAACCCTAAACCCTAAACCCTAAACCCAGGCTTTGGCGATGTCACGGCGAAAAGCGGAGGAAGCAGAGGAAGCCGGGGCGGCCCTCGAGGCTTTGGGGGGATTGGGGGGAGAGCTGGGGTTTAGGGTTTAGGGTTTAGGGTTTAGGGTTTAGGATTTAGGGTTTAGGGTTTAGGGTTTAGGGGGTGTAAGTTTGGTTGTTTTGCAAGTTTGGGGTTTGGGGTTTTCAAGGGGTTCAGAGGAGCTTTCAAGCTTGGCGTTGTAAAAGGGTTTGACAAGGTGTAGGCGAAGAGGGGGGGGGGGGGGGGGGGTGTGGCATCTAGGGTGAAAGTTTTGGGTTTGGGCTTGGGGCTTCAGGTTCGTCCTTAGTAAGTTGCAGGGGTTTAGGGTTTAGGGTTTTAGGGTTTATGGTTTAGGGTTTAGGGTTCAGGGTTTAGGGAGGGGCGACGTCGGGCCCGTGCAGCTTGGTATCCTGGGGTTGATTTGGGGGATCTAAACATTTTGTTGTACAGGTTGTGTAAGAACCATGTAGGATATGACTAAACATTGGACGTAACAAGATTTCCCAAAGCAACCCCAGTATCCGGGCAGGCTCGTCTGGCAGATGCACCCAGAAAGCCCAATACCCCTTAAATAAGGAGTGTAATTAAAAACCATCTGATATTAAGGCCTTAGTTATTAAGGTTCTTATAACTGAAGGTAGATTCCTAAATCAAGGGGCTCTCAGGGAGCAAAATTATGGGAGCTTCTGGGTTGGCCCAGGGACAGAAGCTAGCCGAGGTCAATAAGAGTGATGAACATGCCAAGCACCCCGTGTAATATCGGAGCCTGGTTCAGAAACCTTGCTGATTAACGGGTGCTTGATATGAAGCCTAATCCATTCGGGTTGTAGGGCCAGGGTTTCTTGATCAGGTGCCTACATGACCCGGCAAGTATGAGCTCCGGTGCATCTTCGAATCCATTTTTTAGGTTACAAGTCTCCGAAGCTTCGTGTTGACGTTTAGGGTTTTCGGTTTGGGGTTAATTTAGGGTTTATGGTACCCTTTAAAACCACTTTGTTCCACACAACACTCGACGAAACCGTACGACCCCCTTCCTCGGACACGAGGCGGCCAAGAAAGCCTTAGACGCCGCTTCCGAGCATCGTGTCCAGGCGACCATCAAGGCCGAAGCGCGTTTACTACCTAAACCCGTTTCCCTGAACCCTAAACCCTAAACCCTAAACCCTAAACTAAACCCTAAACCCCCAAATTAGGTGTTTCGAGAAGTTTGGGGTCTAGGCCACGGTTAGGGCTGAGGGTTAAGGGTTGGGATCTAATTACCTACAGCTTTATGGGTTCTACCTATAAATTAAGGGGTAATGGCTGCTAAGCTGTAGGTAAAGAGAGTTACAGGTAGGGGTTTAGAGAAGTTTTGGGTTTAGACCACGGTCAATATAGGGGCCTAAATACCCAGACCCCCAAAAGGATCTAAAAAATAGATCCCCTAATTTGGGACCCTAACTACTAAAGGGTACTTTATAGGAACCCCCTGAGGGGATCTATTTTTTAGATCTTTTTGGGGGTCTGGGTAGTCACCTATACTATTTTGGGGGAGTTCCTTAACATAAGTATAGTATAGTATACCCCAAAACCCTACTAAAAATACTAAGGCACCTACATTAGGGCTTAGGGGCTCAAGGTTTAGGGCTTTGGGTTTAGAGTGATTGGGTTTGCGGCTTCAGTGTCAACTCAAGGTTTTTTAAGAGTTCATGCAAGGTAGGGGCCTAAATAAGTTTAGGGTTTAGGGGTTTAATATAGAAGCTTAATAATCTCCTATACTAGTTTGGGGGTTCCTCATATTCCAAATTGGAGTTTGGCGAGCTTCGACTGCTTTTTTGTCTTTCAAGGGTTCAGGGTTTAGGGTAACGGTTCCTGTTAAAGTAGTCCCTATTTGGGTACTTTGGGGCCAATGTATATACTATTTGGGTACATGGACCCTTAGGGTAAGGGCTCTGAGGCTTAGAATTCAGATTTCTGGCTGTAGGAACGAGTCTTGGGGTGTCGCATCAATGAACGATTAAGGTTTAGGGTTTAGGGTTTAGGGCAATCAAGGTTAAGGGTTTCTAGGCTCTCCAGTAGTACCCCTTTGCCCTTTTTCTTGTTGGGCTCCCTTATTAAAACCAAATAGTAGGAAAAAGGCTACCCCTTTTGTTTAGGGGCTACTGGGGAACCTAGGTTTGGGATTACGATATTCAGGGTTTAGGGTTTAGGTTTTAGGGTTTTGGGTTTAGGGTTTAGGGTTTAGGGTTTAGGATTACGATATCAGCATAGGTTTGAGGTTTCAGGGCTTGCTGTAGGGTTGAGCGTGCTAGGTTGGCTCTCTGATTTCGCGTAGTATCCATTGCTTGAAGCCTTGAAAGGCGATGGCAAGCCAATGTGTTGGAGATAACCCGGAGAGCACAACACATCTTACATGAGCAGTATCCTTGAACCTTAACTCGTACAGGGGGGCCATGGTCAATATATGATGGTTGCAATTGGTTCGAACAGGTTTTGGGTCGTGATCTGCTGTATGTTTATACTTAACTAAAGTTTTCTATAAGGCTTGCTATAGGTTTAATAGAAGGGACATCTATAAGGACACAGGAGGATACTACAAGGGACATGTAAAACATGTGCAGGGGTGGCAGCTTGGATCGTTTAGGCTTCAAGAATGTTACACCCTAGACCCTGCACCGCCCAAGGTCCATCCGAAACCCGAACCACTACCTTAACCCCAACCTCCTTTCAGGGCATCTACCCCTAAACCCTAAACTCTAAACCTGTATTTAAAAAATCCTAAACCCCAAACCCTAAACCAGGAACCCT